GAGTTTACTTGTGTGGCCCCCTGCAGATCAGATTAAGCTGCATGCGGCCCCTAAACCAAAATGAGTTTGACACCCCTGAGGGACAAAAATCAGCTGATGCTGCATCTTTGATCAATGCAGAAACCAGATCAAACCTGGAAAGAGAACATTCTTTTTAAACCGACTGGATTTTCTGCTCACGTTTTCACCAAGACGGATGCAGAAAAATTAGAAATGTGTTGAGCAGGAAGGTGTTTGGATGATCTCATCTGATGATGTAATGAGTCAGTCGAGTATCTGGAACATGAACCAGTAACATCGACTCACCAACATTAAACTGATTCTGCCTTTTGTCCCTGATCTGTCAACATGTTTATTGGCTCCACTTGTTTTGATAAAACTACCTGGGGGATGAATCAACTGGCTTGTATTTTCATCACATAAACAGTTTTATAACTTAACAATTCAGTGATCAAACTGGAATTTATAAAAGATTTTATAACCAACAGAGTGATTTCGACATCCATCCAGCAGGGGGAGCTGTTCGGCAGTAAATTCGCTGACATTTCATTTGAGGAACATCTCATCCACTTTCATTGATTTACAGAAAAAGCTCATTAGCTTTAATTGGACTGCAGGTTGTTGAAGGAGAAGCTTTGGAGGAGACAGATTCTCCTGCTGACTGAACATCTGATTCAGCCTCACAGAAACAGTTTGACCGGATTTGGCATCTAATCCTGGACCTACACGGTTTTTTCAGTTTGGAAACCTGAATGTGCAGAAATCATATTAATAGATCCAGGAAAAATACTGAATTAGCCTTTTAATTAAGAAAAAGAGTGAATTAATGATTGATTTGAGTCAGAATCTCATTTTTAGAGGTTCTGCCTAATATCGATGTAGTTGCATGTAATTTATCGGAATTGTTTGTTGGTTCTGGTTCTGGGATTATCTGATCCCGGTTCAGCACCAAGGACAGCGACTCGGTTCACATAGTTCACAGAAACAAACAGTTTGTGTTTAATTTCAGAATCCATCACCCATTTATGGGGTTTTTATATTTATTTCTTCCAGCGGAACTTTCTGCAGCCGCTGCTGTTTTGTGTGAAAACTGTAATCCCTCCTCGGTGAGTTCTGGGAGGTTCTGCAGAGCCATTGTTCCACCAAGCAGCCGGGGTTCCGCTCCGCCTGCAGGGCGTAGACGCAGAGTCCAGTCTGGAGCCTCGGACTGAGGAGGAAGAGGAGGAGGAAGAGTCCAGCGGTCAGTGGCCGGCTTTGTGTCCGGAGACACGGAGAGCCGCAGCCAGACCGGAGGAGGGGAAGCCCGGCTGCAGCCGCCGCGCCCCGGAGGAGATGGAGGAGAAGCGGACAGGAGGGAAACTTGAAGCAACAGAGTGAATGAATGAGAGCGCAGCGAGCAGGGCGTCAACTGCTGGGGATCTGAGCAAAAAGGTGATAATTGGGCCTGACAAGATCCCGATCGAACCGAGCCGGTAACTATGGACCAGATGGCAGCGGACGAGGGGAAGCATCCGGGTCCAGACCGCAGCGACAACCCGCCGCAGATCACCGTGGAAAACTGCTACGAGCTGCTGGAAGAGGCGAAGCGCGGCGGCTCGGAGCGCGACAAGCAGCGGCTGCTGGGCTTCATGAGCGACCACTACCTGAAGGTGCTGCGGAGCCCCGCCGTGTTCGGCCGGCTCACCGCCGCGGAGAGGGAGCTCATCCTGGCCCGCAGGATGGAGGGGCGGAAGGTGCTGGCGGTGGCCGAGACCTGCGAGGTGCTGGACAGCAGCCGCCCGCAGAGCCCGCAGCGGGAGGACCCCGCCCCGCGCCGGGTGTTCTGCCTCCACCCGGACTCCCAGCGCTGGGAGCTGCTGACGGTCCTGCCGGAGGAAGTCCCGGCTAAAGGCTCCGGGATGTGCACCCTCTACAACTACCTGTTCGTGGCGGGCGGGATGGGGACGCAGGACGGCCGCTCCACGGCGTCGGACCGGGTGTTCTGCTTCAACCCGCGGACCGGCCACTGGAGCCGGGTCCGCCCGCTGACGCAGCCGCGCTGCCAGCTGCGGCTGGTCTCCATGGACGGACACCTGTACGCCATCGGGGGGGAGTGTCTGTTCACCGTGGAGCGCTACGACCCGCGCGCGGACAGGTGGGCTCACGTGGCTCCGCTGCCCAAAGGCTCCTTTGCGGTCGCGCATGAGGCTGTTTCGTGCGGCGGCGCGCTGTTCGTGTCCGGCGGCTCGCTCTTCTACCGTCTGCTGCGATACGACAGCCGCCGCGACGAGTGGGAGGAGTGTCCGTTCAACGAGAGCCGGCGGCGCTCCGCCGACATGGTGGCGCACCGCAGCCTCATCTACCGCTTCGACGTGGAGCGGGAGCGCGCGGCCGTGAGCGTGTACAGGTACAACACGCTGGTGAAGGTGTGGCTCGGCGGCGCGCGCTTCCCGCTGGACAACCCGCAGCCGTTCCGCTGTGCGGTGCTGGGAGACCGCATCTACTGCGTGAGCCGCGGCCACGCGCTGCAGTTCGAGGTGCGTGAGGAGCGCGAGGGCTTCCTGTCGGAGGTGCTTCCGGGTCCTGCGGAGGCCCGCGGGTCCCTGGTACCGTTCGTCCTCAGTCTGGACAAGTGACCCGAACCGGGTCACGTCCTGCGGTCAGCCGCGGTGCCTTCCGATGAGTCCCAGCTCAGTAAAATTACAACAGTTAGTGTAATCATTAATTCAGTTCAAAAAGTGCAATTTGTAAATCAGATACATTCATTTGATTATTCCTGCTTATAGCTAATAAAACATAGATTTATATTAATAAATAAAGTACAATTTAAGCCTGAACAACAAGAAAAAATAAGTTTTATAGATGTGACATCAAATCACACACAGGGACTGCTGACTCAGCATTGATTGTTTATTAAAATATTAAGAGCCTTTTGGGTTTCAGAGGAAGAAAACCTCTTGCATAATTCAGGACAACAGTGTCACATATCCTGCAGAAGTCATGTAGCATGAAAGAGGTCAGTGATAAACATGAACTCAGACATGCTGTTCATAAATATTACAACAGGAATGGAAGGCATCTCTGTTCTCACTGACTTGATTATCAGTGGAATAAAACTTGTGGATTTTTCCTGCTCTGGATCACACAGGTGTGTCAACAACATCCAGGTAGTTTCTGCTTCTTTTCAGATTGAACTGAGATTAAGTCCCAGTTTTCAAGTCTTTGGAGATCATCTGCTGAGTGTTTCACTGCTGGAACTGAACTCTGATCCAACTGGAAATAAAGCCGATATTTAACACGTTTGTGTCTCTTTTCTCTGAAACTTTCCTCCTCTTCCTCAGGCTGTGGCTGCCTGAGCTCAGGCAGGTTTCATCTCTGGAGATGTGAGTGAGTTGCTGGGAAACAGCAGCAGAATGTGTGTTTCATGCAGTCAGCGCGTTGCTCCACTGAAACGGCCTGCAGCCAACAGAGCTGCAGTGTCTCCAGCCTGAATGGGTCTCTGTCATATTTCCTCGCCTCAGTTTAATATCCTGCATGTGTCTGGATTACTAATGTGATCCTGAGCTGCAACATGAAGCAATCATCTGAGAGTAAATATAATCCAGACATAAAATCCAACTTTTAGACCTGAAATTACAGAAACATGAGTTTTGGAAATGATTGGAGAATGTCCGATTTTATGTGAGTATTTTATGGAAATCAAATATGAATCAACTTTGGCTCATATTCTGTTATTTATGCTGAGCTCCCATATCTTTAAAACGTGTTTATTCAAGCACTCAGACGTTCCTGTTATCTGTTATTGTGGCTCTGTAAACATGTTCTCCAGGATTTCTGATGGTCTTTCTTAGTTTTTTGGCCTTTTGCTGCTTTCCATCCACATTTTCTTACATTATCATAAATCATAAAAAGTGATTGCTTGGAACAGTTTGTTTCCATCAGTTCTAGTGTTCACTTGATTCCAGTTTCTTCCATTTCCCTGCGTCTGAGCTGCTTCTCTGGCCCTGGAAAATGTTTTACAGCAGATTAAATTATAGCTGGTTTTACTTACAGCCTGTTATGCGGCATTTTTGGGGTAACTGATTTTACATGTCACATTTAAGAAGGGAACTTACAGTTCAATCAGACTCAGTTTTTCCCTTCTATTTATTTTTGATCTAATATGTAATATTATATGTAATATATCTAATATGTTCCCAGACAATAATAGGCACCTTTGGACCAATCAGAGAGAAGGACTTGGGCCTTTAGGGCCCCAAGTTTAGTAAACTATAAGGTTTTTAAACAGAAAAGGATTAAATCCCATCTTTTTATCAAAATAAAATTTAATAATACAACTGTAAGTGGGCATTTAAGAATATTAGTGATTAATTAATTGATTTAGTTAGGTATTTCACAATAAAAGCCCCGCCCTCCAGGAAGGTGTTACAGGTGACCAGAACACCAGACCAGGTGTAGTTTCTATAAAAAGTTAAAAACTAACAAAAAAAGATAAAGTTAACAGTTAAAATAGCAGTAAGTAACACAAACTTGGAGAGTAGGAGGAGAATGAGGAGTGGTTTTCATTTCCTCCAGCAGCATGACTGCACAGGTAGATCAGGACAATCTAAGCCAGTTTAACTATCAGTTTTTAAAAGTAGGCAGTGGTAACCATGCTGATATAACACTGATATAAATAACATTTGAAGTTGTTTCAGTTTTTATTTCCTGGAGTTTGTTTTCATCAGTCCCCTCCATGCAACAGCGCCCTCTGCTGGGTATTAACATAAACTTTATTACCATGACAAACTGGTTTCGTTTAAGTTTTTGTTTCTCTCAAATTTCGCTACATTAATGAATCAGGATTTTAACTACAAATAAATTGTAATTCATAATTCTAAACAGTAAATATAGATTTATGACTTATTCGGGATTTGATTTTGCTTGACAAACAAATTAAACTGCGCTGCGATATCTGCTGAGGAAATTCATTAAGGAAAGATTTATGAGGAAAGAGCAAAAACACAGCTGCAGTTTTACACGTCATGTTTTCACCACTGACTTTCTTCTTCTTCCTGTAATAAATGACTAAACATTTGAAGTCACAGTGAGGTAAAGAAGCAGTTGTCTCACCTCATGGTCCTCTGGGGCTTCATGATGCTGCGGCTCAAAAACATTTAAAACACGTCAAGAAAAAGGCCAGAGTGAGACATCTTCAGAGTACCGACAATCTTTGCTTTCATCTGGAGTCGTGCAACAGAATTAGCACCAAGGTGAGAACTCCACAACAAACAACTTTATGTTAAAAAAAATATATTTATTTTGACACCAAAATCCCCCAAAATACAGATTTTATATCAGCCTCAACATTCACACACATTAACGTTGCTTAAAGTAAGACAGGAAGACTCTTTCAGCTCAAAGCAGCAAAATAAAAGCCTCAAAGCTGGCAAAAGTTTCAGAGTTTAATCCTTAAAAGCTGATTAAGTTTGAGCAGAGAAAAGCTGGAGGAACATCGAAGATAAAAAAAATAGAGCTGCCTCGTTCTGAGAATTAAAGACTCTATATTTAACATCTTCAGGTTACACAAGTCCAACAAATGTACAAAAAAAAACAGAAAAAGAAATAAAATCTGTCAGTAAAAGAAAAACAATATATTTATATACTGCTCAAAAAAATAAAGGGAACATTTCACTTTAATTTTGTGTGTGGCTCCAAATCCAGGCCTCCATTGGTTAATAAATTTGATTTCCATTGATGATTTTTGTGTGATTTTGTTGTCGGCACATTCAACTTTGTACAGAACAAAGTATTCAATGAGAATATTTCATGCATTCAGATCTAGGATGTGTTATTTGAGTGTTCCCTTTATTTTTTCGAGCAGTGTATATTTATCTACAAATTGTATTTTGATGAACATTTTCCAAACAGTTTGAAGAATTTAACCAGTTTTAAGGGGCTAAATCTGTAACTCTGGATGTGCTCTGTTCTGACGAGACCAAATCTGAACTTTGGGTCACATTTCCAAGATGGCACCGACCCCCAGTGAAGCATGGTGGTGGCAGCATCAGGCTATGGGGTCACTGTTTGGAGAGTGGTGGTTCTGTGTCATAGTGAATCCAATCATATATGGAAACCAACAAAACGACGACAGTCAGAAGAAAATTAAAGTTCTGGAATGACATTACCTCAGAGTCTTGAATCTGAACCACAATTATTCTTAACTTCGACTAAATAACTAATGTTGTTCAATATAACAATATTCATATTATAAAATGGAGGTTTCAGAGTTTTTCCAACTTTCCAAGGAATAGTTACATTGAATGTCCACTAAAGAATGACGCTAAAGTACCAGAAATATTGTTTTTAGATCTGTATTTTCTCATTAAGTGGGAAATTACCTGCTTTTTAAATAATTTTCCATAAATAACATCCTGAAGGAGAAAGTCTATTAATCCTCTTTTTATGTTTTATGTGAATCTTTATTTTTACAATCTAATAACAGAAATAAAATAGAGCTTCTTTATAAATGACAACTTTTCTGGAAATGTTCATCTTGCTTTTTGATGAACATAAAAAAACTGTTTTTTAAAAAATAGTTTTAAACAAAAACAGTTTTTAAGGAGTTTATGTAGATGAAATGAAAATAAAAGTGGCTCTATGGACGCAAAGGCTGCGTTCACAC